CCAAAGAGAACATTTTGCAAGCCAGCCTCCTGCCTGCAGGCACACAGCCTTTCTCAATGCATGGGCCTAGAGTCTGCAGCTGCTCTATCTCTCCATGCCATCTCCTCTGCTACAGTCTTTGCTCCACTCATGCTCTTCCTTCTTGATGGTCCTGGCATCCTCTGTTCCTGAAATGAAAGATTAACTACTCCACACTTTTAGTTATACATCTTCAATTACAGTTGTGACTATTGCAATTAATCCTGCTAACAATTACTCACAATCGAATCATAAAATCTTATTAGCATCGTCTCCCACCCCCTTTCACCAGATCCATCTAGAATAGAGGAAAACTACTCAGTAGGGATGGAAATAGGCTTCTGGTTAAACCTTTGTAGATGCCTTAAGTAGATGCCTCAGACCCACCCAAAGCCTTTTGAGTTGGGATATTCCCACTTAAAAGATATGCAGACCAGCCCAGAACTGCTGGGAGAACAGATGATTTTTATTGAAAGAAAGACCTGCAGAATAAAAGAAGACTAGCTGTTTGAATATCAAGCAATCTGTTTGCTTTGGAGGCATCAATGAAAGAAAAGTCAGCCCATCTGGGAAAACCTCCTTATAGGACTGAAACTCAGAGGGAGCCCATGAGCAGTCTAGTATGCTCACTGGTGACCACCGGAGTCTACCTGTGAGTGGCAGTGGGGGGAATGCAGGAATGGAGACATGGCTGAGGTTGGTCATGTTTTATTGACACCCATTGACCTTGAAATGAGAGAGAAAAGAGGAAGAACTGGCTTATCTGAAGCTTAGGGAGATGTGTGAACCTCTGAGCCAATGGGCACTGACCTAGCCCCTGGGGGCTAGATCTGAGAGTTAAAGTGGCCATCTGGTCTGAAGTGCAAGGAGGTGTGCATGAACTCCTAAACTTGCAACTAGTACCCATCTAACCTAGCTTGGATGGCTAGCTGACCAGAACTCGACCAGATGAACATAGAGATGTTTGATACTGTGAACAAGTGTAAATTGCTACAATTTTGATAAACTATACTTTTGCTTACATATCAAGGAATAAGCTTGTTTATTCAGTGTACTGGGTTGATTGCTGTTGTTGTTGTTAAGTGCCATTAAGTTGGTTCTGACCGATAGTGACCATGTGTAGGGTTTCTAAGGAGCAGTTGGTGAGCTTGAATCACCAGCCTCATGGTTCAAACTGACTTTGCATTAAACAGTGCATTAAACCACAGAACCACACTAGGTTAATAAGGGTGGGAAATTTAGACATTGGCTATCAAAAAAAAATAGAGGCTATAAAGGAATGAAGTGGCTGGCTTACAAGCTTTCGTGAGTGTGCTAAGTTTCAGTGTGATGGGGGTAAGGTAGAATCCCCACTGGACAGTTTTCCTTTTCTCTAGATGGATCTCATGAAAGGGGATGAGATATGATGCTGATAGGATTTTATGATTCAATTATGAGTAATTGTTAGCAGGATTAATTGTGATTGTCACAACTGTAATTGTAGAAGATGTGTATAATTAAAAGGGGAGAGTAGTTAATCTTTCATATCAGGAACAGAGGATCCCAGGACCTTCAAGAAGGAAGAGAACGAGATCCTACCTAAAAAAGTGGCAACAGCAAAGACTGTGGCTGAGGCAGTGGTATAGAGAGACAGAGCAGCTCCAGGCACTAGGCCCATAAACTGAGTAAGGCTATATATATGTCTGGGGGCAAGAGGCTGTCTTGCAAAATGTTCCTTTTGCACATTTAAATAAATGTTTTGTTTTGTATGTATACATCAAATAATTTTGCTTTGTTCATTGTGAAATATAAGATGTAAATGGGGAGCCACAGGGAGGAGGTAGGATAACTGTTGTTTCAGGGAGGGGATTGTAATCATTGAGAT